TTAGATCACACCTTTTAAGTGTGATTAAAAACATTTAGATCACACCTTTTAAGTGTGATTAAAAACATTTAGATCACACCTTTTAAGTGTGATTAAAAACATTTAGATCACACCTTTTAAGTGTGATTAAAAACATTTAGATCACACCTTTTAAGTGTGATTAAAAACATTTAGATCACACCTTTTAAGTGTGATTAAAAACATTTAGATCACACCTTTTAAGTGTGATTAAAAACATTTAGATCACACCTTTTAAGTGTGATTAAAAACATTTAGATCACACCTTTTAAGTGTGATTAAAAACATTTAGATCACACCTTTTAAGTGTGGTTAAAAACATTTAGATCACACCTTTTAAGTGTGATTAAAAATATTTAGAATTAATTGGTATGATTAATTTGGAAAAATTGTGGTTATATGGAATTGAGTTGGACATAATGAAATTTGCTCATTATATAGTAGAATTGTGGAGTTGGATTTGTTAATCGCTCACTTTTGAAAACATTGATATTTTATCTGTTGGAGCTTTTATTATCTGTTTAGAAATAATTGCTTGGACTACCGGTGGAGGGTAGTTTTGATTGTTGTAGACAATGCATGATGATTAGGCAAATTAAAACTAATCAATTGGGCATGTCATAGAGTATGACGGTTGATAAAATACATTAACGTTATGTATTGATTGATTGTGTATATGAACTATGTGTATATACGTTGTGTGTGTGGGAGGAGATAGGAGATGTACTCCACGGTTTAAGGGAAGATAGGGGATGGACCTCTAAACCGGATGTTGTTTGGGAGGAGATAGGGGATGGACTCCACTGATACAGCTCATATGCTTGTCAGATAATGTGTTGATATAGCTCATATGCTTATCTTTGGAAGTGTTGATATAGCTAATTTGCATATCTATTGAAATGTGGTTACAGCTTGTATGCTTATCTGTTGAAATGTTGATACAACTAGTATGTTTATCTATTGTAAAATGGGAAATGTCTAATATGAGTCACTGTCTCATATAAGTGGTTGGCCAGGTTTAGAGCCGTTGATGTAAATTGTGAAGTTGATAAGAAATGGAAACTGTAATGAAACATGAACATAGTGGTCATGAAATGGAAATGGGTTATGAATTGATTTATGGAAATTGAATATTTATCAATTACAAATGTCTTAGTTTTCGTTCATACTGTGTTTAGCATATTTCTACTGGGCGTTGGCTCACCGTATATGGGACATTATTTTCAGGTACAGGTAGTATGCCACCTCCAAGGACATAGCTTGGATGATGATGAGAGTTGAATACTCTTTTTGTTTATTTTGTTTGTATTACATGTATATCAAGTCAAGGACTTATTTTGTATAGAGTTAGTACTCTTCTTTTGTGTAACCAGGTGTTGACTTGGAAAGCTGTAAGCCCATACGGCATTTGCTTTTGTTGTTAACATGTAATACAGTTGTAAGAATTACTCTGATGAATAGAAATGGTTGGTTTCTTTTATATCAATGCAAGTCTAAAGTGATGGGTTTTATGTATTTTTCTGAGGGCGTTACAAGAATAATTGATTTTCACCTTTTTCAATTTTATTTTATATTTTCACGTTGCAGTGTAAATGTTCACATTGGTATAGGTTTTTTTTTTAAACTAGTTGTATATTAATTATAAATTGTGAATATTCACATTGTATTTTAGTATAAGTTTTGTTTTTTCGAAAGTTAATTATATGTTTGTCATTTTTGTTATTATGTTTGTTAGTTGAACAATCATTTTTGTTACCATTGAACAATTAACATAGTCGATTTTCACTTTTTTCAATTTTATTTTATGTTTTCACGTTGCAATGTAAACGTTTACATTGGTATAAGTTATTTTTTTAAGGCTAGTTGTATGTTAATTATAAATTGTGAACATTCACAGTGTATTTTCGTATAAATTTTACTTTTTCAAAGGTTAGTTATATTGTTATTTATTGTGATCACTCACATTGTACTTTATTATGTGTTTTATTTTTTCAAAAATTAGTTGTATGTTTGTTATTTACTGTGAACATTCACATTGCATTTTGATTTTTATTCAGATTTTTTATTGCGTTATTTTTAAAATTTTCAAATTATAAAAAGGCTCAAAGTTCATAATTTGAGATTTTCTTCTTAGAATAAGGGAGATATTTTCTCCATGGAATAATGGAAAGATTTTCTCTTTAGAATGAGAAAGAGATTCTCCATAAAATGAGAGACTATTGTTATATATTAGTTTCAAAATAGAAATATATGCAAATAATTAGAAAGGATAATTTGGTCATATTACATTAAACAAGACTTAATAAAATACTTAAAAAGAATATGGGTTAGATGGAGTAAAATACTTAGAAAGAGAATTTATTAAAAAATGACTCTTATTTTAAAGTACATATATGATTTGTTTGCTTGTTTTAAAGTTTGTATTCACAATAAAATCTTATTTCAACCAATTAATATGTGAGGCATATCTTTTTCCAAATCAACATGTTTTAAAATTTATTAAAATTTTAAATTAAATTTAAACAATTTACTATTCGCCTTCTTTAATAGTCTTATTCGTCGTTAGTATTCATTTCAAAAATAAAATATATATAGAAATAATACAAAAATTGAAGTCCTCTAAATGGTACTATTGATCCTTTCTTTTCATCTTTAAATTTCCTTAAATTTATTCCTTAGGTTGATTTTTCTTAATCAATGACCCATGACTTGAAATCTTATGAACTATGTAGTACGAATGTTGAATAGTCTACTATTGCACATTGGTTAAATGGCATCATAAGCACACCATTAACACTCCATTTATGTAGATGAGCGATATTCTTTTAAAAAAAAAAGCATTTTTCTTAAAATTTGATAATTAAAATTTGTATAAGAGGTTAATTGATAATGACAGGTCAAAACAAGCCATGATGCAAATACATAGGCCACATATTAAGAATTGATACATGTAATTAGGATAAGTAAAACACAAAATACAAATATAAATAGAATATAAATATTATGTTGTTCCTCCCAAAATAAGGTTATGAGTTATAATATAAGACAGAAAAAATGTAACACTTCAATTATAAATATATTAGTATTGAAGTAATGTGGCAGAACTGTAAAATACTTAAAATATCCATAGTTTTTACTATTTCTTCTTTGCATGGATCCATACTACCCAACATATCACTCTTATATGATATGGTATTTATGGCAACACATTTAGATTTGCATTGGATAACATTGTTAGTTTTTATTTTTTGTAAACCTAAAACAAAAAGTATAAAAAGTTTGAAATGTTCATTAATTCAAAGAGGTCACCTATTAATTATAACTTTGAAAATTTTCTTCTTGATGTCTTTTAATATAAACTTGTACAACTAATCCAGATAAGTCTTTATTTTTGGGCAAATTTCGCTTTACCCCTTTATAGTTTGGTCCATATACGGATCACCTCCCTAATATTTGAAAATAACCACATAACCACCATATGGTTTGTGGACTAAAATGCACCATTAACAATTTTGTCTAACATAACGGAATGTGAGGCCCACTTGCCTATGTGGAGAGTAAATTCATTAAGACAAAAATACCTTTTTACAACTTCAAATTTATAAAAAAAAATGCCATTTTTTTTCTTTTTCTTTCTCTCTATTATTTCTCTCTACTTCCTCTGCTCCATAGCCATCAACACCTCCTATATTTGCAGGAAAACATAACAATAACCATTCAGCCCTTATAAATACCTCTATTGGGTTGTAAAATGAGCTCACGTTGAATAAAGGAGGAGCCTTTGGTTATAAGGCTGTGCTCATATTTTTCAACCTATATAAAACGAGCTCATAACATTATGTAACATCCTTGCCTTTAACCTGTTGCCTTTGGTCTGCTTCCATGAAAATATGTTGCCTTTAGTTCAGCCAATCCCTTTCTCTCTCTACTATTATAAAAAGTAATTCTACTTTAATTATAATAATAATTATATATATATATATATATATAATCATGGAATTAAAATGAGTGTTGAACAGATTGTAATCATATATGTGTGGGTGTATATTTAGGTACTCCCTCCGTCCCATATTATTGGTTCATTTTGTCCATTTTAAAAAGTCAAAACCTAACATTTTATATTATTTCAAAATTACCCTTTAAAAATGATTATAAATATATTTAACAATGGAAATAAAGAGGCAATACGGTAAATTAATATCTTGTAATTTGATTTTAAAGCAATAATTACATATTCCCTTAGAAAGTTTGAAATTCTAAAAAGGGACCAACATTGTGGAATAGAGGGATTATTATATGTAGGTTTAATTTTGAAGAGGGAAAGAAGAAGTGGGTATTATAAAGGTCAAATCACTTATTCTGGGGATAGAGGTTAGTGTGCGTTTTAATCCACAAATCACATGAGGTTATGTGATCATTTCTAAATGATAAGGAGATGATTCACACATGGACCAAACTATAAGGGGATAAAAGTGAAATTTGTCCTTTATTTTTTTTTTGAAGTTTTTTATGATCACTGGATGAACAATGACTTAGTTGTATTCTAAGATCTCATGGCGAGAACCAACCTTTGTGAGTGTTCTACACAACAAAGAGTACGTAATAGCAGTGGAGTGCACCTCTATTTGTTTCGACGGAAAATATTTTAATGGAAATCATAATTAACAAAAAAAAAAAAACAAGCTTACTTTGATAGAAGATGTTTTCTACTTTTAAAAAATGAAAAATATTTTTTGGATTAAAGTCTTACCACACTACCACTAATATATTAGTTTCAAGTCACAATTAAATATTAAAAAAATACTTTCTGCAAAAACAAACAGTGAATACAGTGAGAATACTAGAGAATGGAGAGACCATTGTTAGGTCTCATCGTGTCAATATATATGCACATTCTTCATACTTCTCTAATTTAATTATGTGCATATGAACATATTGTAACAAGAAACATTTATTAAGCTTTCAAATTGTACATGGTATCAAATCTAACTATAAGAACCTGAACTCCAGAAAGAGGAACTGATTTATAAAACTTAACCCAGTAGATGAGAAGAAATTTTGTATTCTTTTACAACAGTAAAGATTTTTATTTTTTTAAAAACAGATTTTGAGGCATATGATTTGCATCAATACAGGGTGTGTTTCTATCGGGCACTGAACAGAGTAATGGTCATTTCGTTGACTGAACCTGCTGCTTTCTTTCTTGAAGAACCAACAGCCTCAAGAACATTCCTTTCGGTGAAGAAGCCAGGTTGTTTGGCCTGAGGCAATATACCTTCACCACCCAACATCAGAACCACAGATGACATGCTTGGCCTATCCTCTGGAGATTGTTGCACACATAAAAGACCCACGTGGATTGATCGCACCACTTCAGTTGGGTAGTATGAGTCCCACAGAGCCTCATCAATCAATTCCAATGACCTACCTTCTTTGTAGAGTCTCCATGCCTGAACATATGCTCACACAATCGCACAGTTGTGAATGTTTTGGAACAGGGGGAGAAAGTGGGATTTAAGACAAAATATAAGAATACTTCTAAACTCAATATACTTACATGGCCAAGGAGGTTAAGGTGGTGATCTGGATGATAGAAACCTCTGTTTTTCTTCCCACTCACGATCTCTAGCACCAAAACGCCAAAGCTAAATACATCTGATTTTATTGAAAACAACCCATCCACTGCATACTCTGGAGACATGTAGCCGCTGTAGAAAAGAGTTTAATGAAGAACTAGATTTTGAAGCAATGGACAAAACATGTTGTATAGATTCTTACTATGTTCCAACCACTTTGTTTGTATTTGCTTCTGTCTTATTTCCCCGAAAGCTTCTAGCCATTCCAAAGTCTGATATTTTTGGGTTCATGTCAAAATCTAGCAAAATATTGCTTGCTTTGAGATCTCTGTGAATAATTCTCAGCCTGGGATCTTGATAAAGATAGAGAAGGCCCCGGGAAATCCCATTAATAATGTGGAAGCGCTTTGGCCAATCCAGTAACGTGCTTTGGGTTTGATCTGTCAAAATTTTGTTTGATTTAGCCCATGCTCCTGCTAATCTGATGCATGAATTTAATAGGATTGCTTGATGGAAAATCCTAAATTTTGGAAGACCCAAGTTCATGCAAATGCACATGTAATACAAACTACATATAATTTTTTTTCCTACAGTCAAATAAATCAAAAGAGAGCCAAACCGAAAATAGTTTTGGTATGGTATTATAGTTTCAAGAGAGCCAAACCGAAAATAAAGTAGTCTAGGCTTTTGTTGGGCATGTATTCATAGATCAACATATTTTCCTCTCCTTGAATGCAGCATCCTAGAAGCTTCACGAGATTTCGATGCTGAAGTTTGGCAATACAAATAACTTCATTCTTGAACTCGTCAAGTCCTTGCCTAGAACTCTTTGATAGCCGCTTCACAGCTATTTCTTCTCCTCCTTCCAGCATACCCTGAGAATTACCATTATAATTGATAGAAAGTTCTTTTTTTTAAAATTTAAAAAAGAAAGCACCTTTTTTTCTTTACTAACTATTATAACTTTAACCAACCTTTTTTTTTTTTAATATGTTGCTCTGGTTAACATTGTTCCAACATGTGCAATTGTGACCATTGATTTATGTTACAACATTACCTAACACATACTTAAGAGACATAATTACACATATTTATGAAGTTTCACATGTGAGAAAAGATGTATCAGACTAATTGTCTTTTCTAAAAATTGAAAGAAAAATATATTGCAACCCGAGATAGCACCTTAGTTGTGTAATAAGGAAAGGACAGTGAATGTTTTATTATGTTTGGGTGAGTGTGTAGTGTGGAAAGATGGAGAGGATTTATAGAGTTAGAACTTCTCTACAAGATTTTAAATCAAATTACTTTTCATTCCCATCAGTCCTAAGAAAAGGGTTAGTCTTAATTGTTTTTCATTTTAGCAAACTCAAAAAGGTAGTTGTATTTATCAAAATTTTACATTCAGAATGGTGAGTTCTGTATTAAAAGGTTTTATCGAACAGTAAGTATAGGAACACAAAATTTGTGGGCCCACACACAGAAATGAATGCAGCGATGGAGCTTGCTGCAGCACAACATTCTATGCACTTTTCTGCAAAAAAAGAAAAGTGATTATAGCCTTACAGAAAAGCAGTGATAAAAAAAGTTGATTGGTTTTATGGCTTCTACATTGGCTCCATGATTACATAAGAGTGTCTTTACATTGTTACCTTGTAAACAGGTTCGAATCCACCCTCTCCAAGCTTATTGTTGATTGAAAAGTTGCTTGTGGAATGAGCTATTATAGCTAAGTCAAACAATGGTAACTTTAGATCTTCCTTTTGGCCTTTGTCAGTGTAACCTTGTTCAAGGTTCATTACATTTCCTACAAAGTGGGGATGAAATGGATGTAAACAAACACAATGAGACAACTAGTTCCAACTAGTAACATACCATTACAGACTTGACCACAGAATGACACATTGGATATATACCATCTTTATTCAGCTGTGAATTCTTCCTTTTCTTTTTTTGGAGGTACAAGGTTACACTCATGCCTAACAAAAGAAGTCCAATTAACAATGCCAATGTCACTGCCACTATCTCTCTTTTCTTGCCTTTCTTGCCTTTGATGCCAGCTTGTTGGACTGTTGAAACCTCTATCCATTAACAGAAATGGTCAAGTCAGTTAGATAATACAACCATGAAAGAACAAACTTAAAGGGATTCCCCATCCCCCCCCCCTCTCTCCCCATGAAGGTAGTCTTTAGATTTCAAACCTTTGAACATTTCCTATATATTGAGGTTGTTATGGGAAAGGCCGTGAGAAAACTTAAAACAAAATAAAAACATAACCACACAAGAATTTACTGATGCAAAATATAAGAAGCTCAAGGAACCTTTTAACATTTCCTATATATTGTAGTTGTTATGGGAAAGGCGATGAGAAAATTTAAAACAGGATAAAAACATAACCACACAAGAATTTATTGATGCAGAATATAAGAAATTCAAGGAAGAGTAAATTCAAAGAAGTGGCAATATTTGAAAATTGGCATGATTTCAAAGAAAAATCGATATGAACTATTCATAATCGTGTTTCTAGTATTATTAGAGTCTTATTTTATGGTTAGTTTATATTTTCTAAGATTTTTATGTCAAGGGTATTTTTGTAATTTTAATATTTGCTGGCATGGGCTATAGGGGTCGCCCATGAGTTGTCTTGTCGGTCAAGTTATTTAATTAGATTTTGTTTATGGTTTTTATTTGGTCTTAAATTGATTTTGGAAGTCAGAGATATTGTATTAGGTTCCTTTTTGGTTGGTTTATGAAGTCTCCTAATTCTATATAAAGTCATGTAATCTTATAATTGAATAAAGTTGATATGTTAGAGAATTTTAGAGCTTTTAAAGTTTCTTTATGGATTGTGTAATGCAATCAAACCCTAAGTGTGAAGCCTAAGAGATTCTAGGAGTGATTCCTAGATCATTCTTATTCTTCTCATTCTCCTTCTTTCCCTCTTTTATTTGATGCACTTTTAACAACCTAAAATACTATTCATGGGTATTGTTCACAGCATCCAAAATCGTCTCAAAATTCAATCTTCTACCTATTACATTAAGCCCTAACCCTAATTCTTACATTAAGCCCTAACCCTAATTCTTCCATATTCTAGTAAAATCCCTAACATTTCCATTACTTTTCAACTTGAAATCACAAAACACCTATTGTGTCACGACCCCATTCCACCCCTAATAAAATGATGCCGTGATGGCCAGTAATGGCTAGTAATCCAAGATTACGGAAGGCCAACTTACAAAGATTCACACAAACAAAGTATACATATGAGGCAGAGGTAATGAATTTAAATCTAATTAGTCTATAAGAGTTGTGCATAGATTAAATGAAATGGCATACATCATAACATGGTTTTACAACTTGAATACCAGATAAAATAAACTTAACATTACATTTTGATCAAAAAGCTTCTCAAGCCAAAACATACAAAAGAAATGAGCTATGAAGCTAAGAAGCTAAGAAGCTAAGAAGCATAATCTTTAAGATAAATACAAAAGCATAAACAAAACACATCTTCCAACAAAGCTTAGGCGACATCGCCTTCTTTATCATCACTGTGGGTGTTGATTTCTGACCACACAACCAAACGGGGAACTCAGTTGAAGAGCACCAGCAGAATAGATTAAGCCCAAATAACCTGTCACAGAAAGATAAGAATCTGGCGATGGTTCATCCACTCAGGGGCATTCCGACGATCAAGTCAGTAACCAAATATCTCTCAAAGATAGCAAATTGTGCTTAACTCACAAGAAAGAACTTACTGCTCATAGTGTATCACATATACCTGAGACCCACAGGGGTTCCTCCCTTTTATAGCCATTAGTGTCCAACTCCCCTAGAAGCCTCACTTCATAGGTCTCCAGCACATAATGCTTATCCTCGACTTCTTGCTAGATTGGGATAAACTTCCTAAGAGCTTTATCCTTATCCAGACTAGAGCCCTCATTTGTCCAGGATTCCTGCCTCCTTATCCGCTTATCTCAGATTTCGGCATCTCCGCAGATTACCTCGACCTTATTGAGATCATCTCAGCAATATGTCCGGGCCACGTGGCACCTCGGCTAACACTTCAGTGTCACCTTAGCCACATGTCGTTATTCATAAAATACTCCCACACAACTACCCCTAGGTTCTATTACCTCATCAACCTGAGGTGATGAAACCTATATCATTTGTTCATATAGCAAGTCGGCTACGATCTCCTTTCTTCTTCACGACCGAGATTATTCCTTGTCAGCTTCATATAACCAAGACTTCTACAATCCACTGTCCAAATGATCAAGAATCAAGAACTCAATTTTTAAATATCTCAACCAAGATTGCTCCTCTAGTTGAGGTCCTTGCTTCATTACTTCAAGAATTTGAAGAGTTCTAATTTGCGCATGAGTTATCACGCACAGTCCCTTCAACTGTTTTCTCCATGCGTCTTTTCCTCATTGGTTCGTACCTGACACGCGCTATTAGGTCGTGTTACTTCTGCGCACGTCGCCTAACAAGCATGTCATCCAAGGAACTTCATTATGGTTTGCCGCCTTTTCAAGTTTTTAACAAAACTCCTCCCATTCTCTCTCCGTCCTTTCACTTTTGTAATTGCGATTTCCTTCTCTTGCTGTGCTTTTCTGCAATAACTCCATTTATCATTCCCGGTGAAGCAGCTACTGTCATACTCCGCTTGTCGTCACCATTTGACTCTGGCGTAGTTCAAACCGGTGTCGTCGTCTTCGGCCCCAGTCGGTGAGTTCATAATTTCTTTCCTCTTAATTTCAGTCCTTTCCATTTTTTTAATTTATTTTGAATTTGTCGTTTGTCCACATTGCCTATTGTTGCCTTGTATCTAGACTTGTTGTTGTATTCTGTTTCCATCTTCATGTTCTGGTCATCATTTTTGTTTCTTGAATCTTGAATCTGTGTAATGCTTCAAAGAATGCCAATCATGTTTTGCTTGAGATGTTTGCACACTGTTTTTTACACACTCACTCAGTGATTTGAAGTTTTGGGTATGCATATTTGTTTTCTGCTTCAATCTTAGTTTCGGAATTTTCTTGTCTTTGATTCCTTCTTGGCTCTGAACTTTGTTCCATTTCTGTTTGCTTTGTCTGTTTTTCAAATTCTTGCTCTTGATTCTTGTTTCCGCATAGACTTAGGTTTGGGATTTGATTTAGAACCCTATTCATTAAGAAAACTAAAACAAATTTCCCCTTAGGCCTTCATAAACCCTCACTGTGGTTCTTTTTGGGTTTTAACTGAGGTCTTCAGACCCATTTTAACGATTTTTCTCTGACATCTAGTAACACTCATACCAAGCCGACATAATGGGTATGTTTAGGTGGAGGGTGGACACCCCAGCTAAGCTAGATTATTTTAGGCAAGAATTCTCTATCCTAGTCGATGTTTAGATCAGGTTGGCTGAGGAGAAGGACTCCATAATGCCTGTTGGCAATTCTATGCCCTTCCCCATGGTTGCTTTCATCGAATGTGGCCTTAGGTTTCCTTTAGACATTCTTTTTAGGGAAATCCTCCACTATTACAAACTCAACCCTATGCAATTAACCTTCAATTCATATAGGGTTATCAACGGTATAATCGAACTAGCACACCGAGAAAAGGCTAGAATTACGTTAGCCGACATCCAATTTTGTTATACAATGTGTGGCCTAAAGTCTGAAAAAGGCTACATCTATTACCTTAACCCCAGATCCACCGTATACAAACTCATAGCCGACCTCCCAGACTCCAACAAGGGTGTTGGAGATGACTATTTGATGGTCTCGGGCAACTGAGAATTTGCACCTGATGATGATCTTCATCTCTTCCCTTTGAGCCGAGGAGTCTTTAGAAAGGATGAGGGTAAGAACTAAGTGCAACCTTTGTGCTTCTGTTTAAGACTGTCACTTTATTTCTCTTATCTGTTATAATCTTTGCTTTTTGCTCTTATAGCTCTCCCTCAGCCAGCAAAGGGCTTTTGCCAGTTCTTCTTTCCTAGCAAAGACCATAAAAGGCTAGGCTTGCCGATTGACTAGCGCAAAGCTCCTTTGCTGCTCAACTACATTCCGACCTACAAGTCTGTTTTGCCTGACGTTTCCCGTCGAAACAAAACTCCACCTTCAGCCATAACTCCACCAACTACTTCATCACCAAGGCCAGATTAGGCCTCTTCCTCAAATCCAGTTGAGGTTGCATCCACATCTTTCCCCCAATCGATGCCACCCTCTCAGCGCCGATGCTGACGTCGATCCCCACAAAACGCACCTGCCGGCAGAACTCGTAGCCGCAAACGCCGATATTCTAAAGAGTCGGCTTACGATACAGGAAACCCACCAATCACCTTGCCAGCAATCCATTTCGGCACCAAAGTTACCCTTGCTGCTATCACCTACGATATGAGCCAAAAAGCCATTATTGACGACCTTTTGGCCGACCTGCTAGGAGTAGCTACTGTCACCTCTTCTTCACAATCTCAATCCCAACCCACACAAAAACCAAAAAGGGTGAAGAGAGCTAAGGTAAAAGCCTCTGCCACCCAAATTGAGTCTAACGATACAGTACCAATCTCTAAACTCGCCAAAATCGAGAAAACCGCATTTGCGGCCGAAAAGAGGCCTGCTGAGGCAGATCCAACCGATACCGCTCGGTCAAAGAAGCTGAGGCTTGAAGATACGACAATCTTAGGTGTATTTAAAGCCAATGAACCCTGGGTCCTAGCCATCATGATTGGGGATCTGCCAATGAAGGCTGGGGACAGCGCCATTGATAGTCTTGAGGTCGGTGCCGCTCTCTCTACTGTTATTCTCCTACCAACAGACCTAAATCGTATGGCCAAGATCAGTGAGTATGAAAACTTTGCGTTGATGATGCAGAAACACTTTGGCTTTTTACTTCAAGTTTTCTTCACACTTGGAAATTTTACTAACTTCGATAATTTCTTTTCGTCCAGGCTATCCAGCATGTCAACTCCTTCGCAACGAAAGTCGAGGCATTCAAGCAGGAGTTGGTGCAAAAGACCAAGGAGGCTGCTGGCTACATTGCCTCCCTGAACAATGCCGAGGCTAAGATGAAAGTTCTATTAGATCGAAAGTTCTAT